ACTCTCTGGTTCTTAATTAGTAACAGTACTTCCCAACGCTCAGCCTGTCCAGAGGACTAGACAGGCGTGTACAGGGCTGTGTGTGTGAGAGAGAGGAAGAATGCATTTTTATTTTGCTAACAATTTGAAGAGAGACACTATTGGTATTCAATATGCAGGAGTCAGGAATACTACAAGCTCAACAATGTCATTCACATAATTTGTCTCACCTAAAAAATGCCAAATGAAGCCCCACTTAAGACAAATCACCTATGGCCGGCACCAGTGGCTCATGCCTGTAATCCTAGCTACTCAGGAGGCTGAGATCTGAGGATCGCAGTTCAAAGCCAGCCTGGGCAGGAAAGTTCGTGAGACACTTATCTCCAATAAACCACTCAGAAAAACTGGAAGTGGCACTCACTGTGGCTCAGGTGGTAGAGTGCTAGCCTTGAGCTGAAGATCTGAGGGATAGTGCCCAGGCCTAGAGTTCAAGCCCCAATACTGACAAAAAACAACAACAACAAAAATGTAAGAGGAGCTGGAAGTATGGCTTAAGTACAGGAGTACCTGCCTAGTAAGGCATGAGGTTCTGAGTGCAAACCTGAAAAAAATACTGTGAAAAAGAAAACCCAGTAACTGATTTCTCATATCTGCTCTTAGCTCTCTCTAAACTGCAGCAGAGCTTTTTAAAAATGCAAATCAGATGATGCCTCTCTTATGTTTAATACCCTTTAATAGCTTTCCCTTACCCTAAAGATAAAGGTCAAATTCAAAGTGTGATTTAAAGCTCCTGCCTTCCTCTCCAGTTTCATCTCATGCCACTCTCCTCCTCTGCCCATATTCACTATGCTTTCTGTAGACATTCAGTCAACAAATACTGATTAAATATCTGTGTGCCACCAACCAGTCAACAGAGTGATGGGATATAACAGTGAGCAAGAGGCACACTGTCTTCCTGGCTTCTATGGAGATACAAGGCCTCTCCACAACATGCTGCTTCTGTGCTAGGTCAATTTCTCCTTCAGATTTCAGATTATACATTTCTCCCCAGAAACATACTTTACCTCACTCTGAACTGTTTACTGTTACTCAATGCAACTGAAATTATTTGTCCAAGAGCTATCTTTTCAGGGACATCTACACTTGGCACATGCTTGTAATCCCAGCCACCCAGGAGGTGGAAATGGGAGGATTACAATTTCAGGCCAGCTCAGGTTAAAAAAAAAAAAAAGCCAGCAAGACCCTCTCTCCATAAACAAACCAGTGTGCCATTTATACCTGTAATCCCATCCATTTAGGAGGTGATGTAGGGGGAACATTGTATGAGGCTGGCCCAGGCAAAGGCACAAGATCCTAACAAAACCAAACTGAATTAGAGAGGTTAAGCTCTGAGGATTGTGATTCCAAGACAGCCCAGGCAAGAAAGATGACTCTTACGTCCAATTAACCAACAAAAAGCCAGAAGTGGAGGTATAGCTTCAGTGGTACAGCACCAGTCTTGAGGGAAGGAGACCATCCTGGCCCTGAGTTCAAGCTCCCCCATTCCTCCACTCCCCCACAAAAAAAAAAAAAAAAAAACAAGTAAAAGAAAATTCTTCACATTCCCAGGATCTGGCACATAGAAAATACTCAAAAATATTTGTTGTCAGGCACAGGTGGCTCACACCTATAATCTTGGCTGAGATTCAAAGGATCATGGTTTAATGCCAGCCTGGAAAAAAAGAGTTCATGAAACTCCAAATCCAAAGTAGCCAGCAAGAAGCAGGCCTGGAGACATGGATCAAGAGGCAGAGCACCAGCACAGAAAGCAAGCCAAGCAAGTGCAAGGCCCTGAATTCAAACCCCAATATTGAAAACAAAGTGTAGGAGTGGGGCATGGTTCAAGTAATGTACCACTTGCACAGCAAGTAGGAGACTGAGTTCAAACTAAATACTTTATTATTGATGAAGATGTATATATATATATATATATGTGCATGCATACATATACTTTATGAATATGTGTAAATACATTAATGCCTATATTGTTTCTATGGGTGACAATACTTATGAAAATACGTGTATACACATGTATGTAAGTAAGGATATATACCTAAAATTCTGGGTGTATTCATTCACAAGTACACAAGTATATTAATGCATGTATGTATGCATGCATGTGCATGTATGCATTTTTCTAGACCCTCAGTGACAGCTCTAACCTCCTGGAAGGAGCTGGAGGCAGAGCCTCGAGACTACTCTAAGCTGACAGTTCAATAAAAGTCTAAGATCATTCAATGACATTCCAAATGTCAGCAAACACTGGCTTGATCCACTTTGCTACAGGGAAAGTAGGTAGAGGTGGGAGATGTAGAAAGCTGGCTGCTGAAAAGTTCCTCTTTCTTGATGCTGCCCACACCATTTCTCAATAGAGGGCATGAGAAAGACACTTTATCTCTTCTCAGTTTAGAGTCCTTGGGAAACTGGAATGGTAGTTCAGTCCTAGATGCTTACATAGGTCTACGCCTGAAATGATGTGGCTATAGAGGGAAGAAGAAAGGGTGAGACTCCCTTGTCCTTTCAGACCTGCTCAGTTTACCTCCTAAGAAGAAAACACTGTGTCAGTAGAGTCCTGGGTTGGCAATGTGGCTTAGTAGTAGAGTGCTTGCTTAGCATGCATGAAACCCTGGGTTCAATTTCTCAGTACCACATACACAGAAAAAGCCTGAAGTGGCGCTGTGGCTCAAGTGGTAGAGCACTAGCCTTGAGCAAAAGAAGCTCGGGGACAATGCCCAGGCCCTGAATTCAAGACCCAGGACTGGCAAAAACAAACAAACAAAGAGTCCTCAGTGTCCCTTGTTGGGTGCCCACACCCTCCTTCTATAGCTTGATAGTCTGGAGGAGAGCCAAGCTGAAGGGGCTCAGAACAGCCAACCTCTACTCCCACCCGTTAGCCCAGCAGCACCAAGGTGGCCCTGAATGCAATGTTACCACATGGGTCAGCTATTCTCCTGCCTTTCTGCCAAGGGACCTAGAGGCGGGCAGCTATCCACACACCAAAAAGTCTAGTGAACTTCACAGAGTAATTGTTCATGGTCAGTGCCTGCCTCGCCTGGCCGGGCCTTCACATTACATTTGCTGAGACCGGCATGCAGCTTGAGATGAGCTCTGACAGCTGGCATGCTGTCTTGTAGGAGCGCATGTCTAGCCCCACCACCAAGCCCCGCCTCTATGGCACTAGTTCTCAAAGACAAGCTAGTCAGTCAGCAATTACTCACTAAGCACACACTGTGTACCCAACCCTGATCTCACAACCAGGACACAGATTCAGTCCCTATGCTCTAGACAGGCATGTCCAGAAGGAAACATATATCAGCTCTGTTTCAACTAAGTTAACTGATATCCCAAGTATAAGGGGCCTCAAGGCAAAAAGAGAGATATCTGAATAGAATCTTGAAGGAGAGGCAATATGATGATGATGGCTGTGGCACATTTCAGGCAGAGGAAGAGCACAGGTTAAGGTTAGATATAGGACAGAGCCTAGACTCCTCAGGCAAAGATGGAAGTAGTGGGAGTAGTGGCTTAGCTGCATAAGTGATCAGCAGGAGAGAGGGGCAGAAGTCAAAGAACAAGTAGTAGAAGTGCAAAGGACCTGTATACCAGGGGAAAGCAAAGAATGTTACCACAAACCAAGGAACCAAGTCCGTAGTCATTCTCAGTGTAGAACTTTTTTCCTACTGCTTCATATGCTCCTTGAGCTCCAGCTACACATATGAAAAGTATCTGTACTCCTACAATATATGCCTAGAAAGCATTCTCCTGGTAACTTGACACATCTTCTTCATTCCACAGTTTAAGATCCAAATCCTCACAATATTTACCCTGATTCCTTAATGATCTCTTTTCTGAGCTTCCAGGAGCCCTCACCATGGTGTCTGGTGTGTTTTACCTTTATCCAACTTCCTAGGAGCTACTAAGCTAACCCTTGGCATGAGATTTTTGAGGCTGCTCCAGGAAAAGAATGATTGTCTTTGGGCTGGGAAGGTGGCTCAGTGGTAGAGCGCTTGCCTCGCATGCATGAGGCCCTGGGTTCGATTCCTCAGTACCACATAAGCAAAAAGAAAAAAGCCAGAAGTGGCGCTGTGGCTCAAATGGTAGAGTGCTAGCCTTGAGCTGAAGAGCTGAGGGACAGCGCCCAGGCCCAGAGTTCAGGCCTATGACCGGACCCCAAAAAAAATAAAAAAGAATGATTGTCTTTATATCAGATTGATTTATGGAGGGTCGGTCTCCTGTAGACCAACTCTACCACATCAAGGATCTCAAGAGCAAGATCTGGTGAGTCTACTTTACACCTCCTTTCTTCTGCTCATGTAGGATGTATAGCACTAGTAAAACTAGTAAAGCACAGTTTTCTAAATAATTCATTCTCTATCAGAGCCATTATACTAACTACACAGCTCCTTCCCAACCTCATGGCAACTTGCCAAGTACTTAGTGTGGGGTTAGTGCCTGGCCCTTCATTTGTGTCCAAAGGGAACCAAACTTTAGGGTCCATGAGCTTTAGGTTCCCACATGAGCAAGGCTCTACTGGAACCAGATGGACCAAAGCCAACTTGAAGAAGCCTTTCTTCCCAACTAGAGGGAAATATGAAGATATCAGGAGGCTCAGAGCACACAGTTCTAAGGACATCAAAGGAGAATGCTTTCCCAGAGGCACAGCTAGGACAACATCTCTTCTAGAGACAACATGACTCAGCCCAGAGACTCAGCTCTGATTTAGAACCCTGGAAAATCCCCTTAACTAAGACTTCTGCATGTCTGTGTGATTCCAACTAGGACAGTGATTCATACTCTACCAATATCCTAGCCCCATACAGCTCTCCATTCCCAGGAATAATTACAACATTTCAGCACATATTACCTAGGAAAAGAGGGAAAAGGGATGCTGAAAGAAAGAACAAAAAAAAGATAACAGAGATGGAAGGGGAGCTCATAGGCACAGAAAAACCAGAGCAAGGCTCTGGGTGAAGTTCAAACAGTACCTTTTTCAGATTAATCCACTGCTTGAAGTAATCTGCCACTGGCAGGCCCAAGTACTGGCACTGTCCTGGGAGCCTACAAGAAAGAGAAGAGAGAATAAGTTGGATGAAAGGATGGAGTCTTAAGCTAGAAAGTCCAATACATGACAAAACAGGTTTCAGAAGCTAATGCTTTAGCCATGGGTTTTTGTCACCAAGAAAGGAATTCTACCTCTAGCACCATAAACACAACTCTAGAACCTTCCCTAAGATTCAAATGTGTATGCCTGGAGACCCCATCAAAATAATATCAGCAGACCAGGTACCAGTGGCTCTTAATCCTGGCTACTCAGGAGGCTGAAATCTGAGGATTGAGGTTCAAAGTCAGCCTGGGCAGGAAAGTCCATGAGATTTTTTTTAAACCTCCAATTAACCACCGGAAAACCAGAAGTGGTACTGTGGCTCAAAATGGTAGAGTGCTAGCCTTGAGCAAAAGAACTCAGGGACAGAGCCTAGACCTTGAGTTCAAGCCACACAAGTAACAAAATAATAATAATAATAATAATATCAACAGCTAATGTTTTCTGAAGACCTGTAGTATGTCAAGTGCCTTACTTACATGCTTCATATTTAATCTTCAAAATGATGCTGTGAGGCATGAACTGTTATCTATGTTTTATAGAGAAGAAAAGGAGATTGAGAGACGTTATCCAATATCCCACAGATCAAAATCGATAGTACTGGGGCTGGGAAGGTGGCTTAGCGGTAGAGTGCTTGCCTTGCATACATGAGGCCCTGGGTTCGATTCCTCAGCACCACATAAACAGAAAAGGCTGGAAGTGCTAACCTTGAGTTGAAGAGCTCAGGGACAGCGCCCAGGCCTCGAGTTCAAGCCCCACGACCAAAACAACAACAACAACAACCCCCCCCCCCCAAATTGATAGTACTAAAAACTGAACTTAGTTCTGTCTGACCCCAAAGCAGAGAGGCAGAGATACAAAGCAGGAGGAAAAAAAACCAAAAACGAAACACATGACATATAGATAGATGGGCAGGGACTCTTCAAAGAAGCAGAGTCTCTCTCAGAGAGTCATGAGGTAAACAGTCCTCCTTCACTGCATGCTGTGGCATCATGGACTGAGTTGCCACAGGCCCAAAGCAGCAAAGACAAGCGACCATGGACTAAAACCTCTGAAACCATGATGTTCCAAAACAATTGACTGTTTTAAGATGATTCTCAGGTACTTTGTCACAGTAACAGAGAGCTAACATTGATCCCAACAAGGGGAACAGTGGAGCCAAGTTAAAGACTGGTACCTTGGTTAATGCTATGGCTTGACTATATTGGAAGTTCACGTGTTAGAAACATAATGCTCAATGCAGGTGGCTCATGCCTGTAATCCTAGTTACTCAGGAGGCTGATATCTGAAGCCAGCCTGGGCAATAAAGTCCTTAATACTCTTATCTCCAATTAACCAGCAAAAAGCCAGAAGTAGAGCTGTGGCTCAAGGGATCAGAGCACTAGCCTTGAATGAAAAAGCTAAGGGACAGTGCCCAAGCCCTGAGTTCAAGTCTCAGTACTAGAACACACACACACACACACACACACACACACACACACACACACACACACACACACACACACACACACACACACACACACACACACACACACACACACACACAGAGTTCAGTTCCTTTTCTCTGTCTGTATCTCCCTCTCTTTCCTTATCTCCCTCTCCCCATCCCCTCTCTTCCTCATATGTACCCTCTGCCCTTCTACCTTCTACCATGGGATGACACGGCATGAAGGCCCTCCTCAGATGTGGCTCCCTCAACTTGGGACTTCCCAAGCCTTAAATGTGTAAAAGAATAAATGTCAGCCAGGTGCTGGTGGCTCATGCCAGTAATCCTAGCTACTCAGGAGGCTGAGATCTGAGGATCGAGGCTCAAAGCCAGGCCAGGCAAGAAAGTCCATGAGACTCTTATCTCCAAATAACCACCAAAAAACCAGAAGTGGTGCTGTGGCTCAAGTGCTAGACTTGAGCTGAAGAGCTCAGGGACAGTGCCCAAACCCAGAGTTCAAGACCCACGACTGGCAAAAAAACAAAAACAAAAAACCTATTGTTTATAAATTACCCTGTCTCAATATTATGTTACAGTGGAACAAAACAGACTAAGACAGCTAGCTTTATGATACTGAGATACATATATAGTAAGAGGCAATGGCACAGAGAGCATACCTGCTACCCAAGGAGGCCAGTATTTGATCAATTTTCTTATTAATTTCAAGTTTTCTGCATACAGTGTATCCCTGTCTACCCAAATTGAGATAGGCTGCTCCCACAGTCCTACTCTTAGTAATCTTCTGGAAAAAGACAGGACAAATGCAGTTTTAGATAAATTTTTGATACATGGTAAACAATCAATGTTGATTGAGTCTGAGATCTGTGGAACATTTGGTAGTGGAACAATGTCTAGGAGGAACACATACACATATTTGAAGACAGATCTGGACTACAGATGATGATTCATTAATGTAAGTAAAATTAAAATCACAATAATTGTACAAGATAGCCTAGGAAGAATAATAATACAGGGTGAGGTGAGCAGACGGCCTAGGCTTATGTCTTATTTTCACTGACCTAAAATAAAACCACTTTTACCAGACGATTGCCACATATGAGAAATTCATATATCAAGCAGCAGCCAATTGTAATTTTGAACTCTAGTTTAGAGCAACTTTTAAATACTAAACTAAAACTTGCCTCCTCACAACTCCTCTTCTGAGTCTGAGGTATGTGAAGAGAACAAGATCACCTTCTAAGATCTGAGAGTCCAGTCTGCAGGCCACATCCCCTTACCTCTTTTCAGAGTTCTTCAAAAGACAAGGACTCACCCAACTCACTCTCTTTTTTAGAGTATCAGATGCCCAACCAAGGTCACACATACTCTTATGATCCCACATCACATTACCTGTAGTGAGCCTAAATTATGGAAGCATACTTCCCTTTTCTGTTTATATGTTTGATACATATAAACCTATATTTAAGTTAGATATATAAACATATATGTTTATATACATACATATGTATATAAAACTTAAATCTAGATCATAAAGTGGTCAAGCAAGACAAGAGCAAAGAAAACCCCAACAGTCAAAATTGATCTTGGCGAAAGGAATGTCAGTATCATTGGGCTAGATGGGAGAGGGAAGAGGGAGCCTGCAAAGTGTAGAATAGGTAAGGAATAAGAAACTCCTTTCTTTGAAAGTTTGGGTACAAGAATCCAACTGAGTCAGTTCAGCCTTCCATCCATCACCCTTCAAACACTTACCATGTCTCAGGCAGTATAGTATGTATTCACTTTTACTTCATTTTCTTTTCTTATTCTAGAAGTACTGGGGTTTGAACTCTGGGCCTTCTATCACTTGAACTATACCTCTGAAGCCCTAAGGACTCATTTTTATAAGATCCAAAATATCTTACTGAGGTATAGGTTTCATTCAAACATCCAGGTGGAACAGTGATATTAACCATAATCAGTTAGTTTTCTGGTAGAGAATTCTAGCTGAGACCAAGAGGACGAAGGGGCACCAGAGAGGATATTCTCATGTAGAGTCAAGGACCAAGGGTATGGGGATAGTAGACAAGGTTTACAAGGATAAGAGGTGCCAGAATATAATTGTCTGGGAAGTAAAATTAATCTGGCTGAATAATTGTCTTGGGTTTTTTTTTTCATTTTTCTTTCATATTCCTTATTCTTGATGTTTGTGAAAATGCTTGCTGAGCTCAGCTGTTTTAGAAAAATCACACCAAGGTCAAGGTGAAGAGTCCACTAGAAGCAGAATAGCATGGGAGACTGGGCAGCAAAAGGCAGGGAGTCTTTATCTTATTTTTCCCTGGGCCATTTTCAGCATCTGAGCTCTTTTCATTGACACAGACCAGGAGTCCTATTAGCTCTGGCTAGGGCTGGAGGACAAAGGGATGTCTCTTCAGTGAGATTTCAAAAATATAGTACATACCAGCTATACACACTTCTACGCAGTTAGGAAGGTTATCCCTCAGTAGGATCCTGCTTGCTCCTTTGGAGGATCTATACCAGAAGGACCACTTGGAGGACAGATTACTGGGCTAGATACACATCCAAGACTGAATAGAGCTCAGCAGCAGCCCTGAATGTCCTTCTACACCCATGCTGACTGAAGCATGACAAGAGGAGAATTATCAGTCTCATTCAGAAGCCTAAGGACTAACATTCAGGTTGTTGAGTAGTCCTCTGAATGTTTCAGTTTTATGGCCTAAGAACCAAGAAGTACAAATGTAGCAAGGCCTAGCCCCATCTTCATGACAGACATGGAACTAAGGGCCAACCTGAACTCCCAAGTGTCTCATGGGAAGACAGCTATATATTTCTATCACACAACTATGTCCCATATTAGTGTTCACCAAGAAATTAACTATATTAGCAAGGCAGAATGGCCAGTATCCTCTATACAAAAAAAGAAACAGACTCAGGGAAGAAAAAGGTTTGAACAATCATGTATCAAACCAAGAACAGAACTAGAAGTAGATGCTAAGTCTTCTGCCTGCAAAGGCTCTGGTTGTATAGATTCATTTAGAGATCTTGCCATCTCTGGGAAGGCAAAGACTCAGGCAGGTAGAATGGTGGTTAATGCTCAACGTCATCCCTTCATTTGAGGTTCTTATCAGCTGGAGGCTAGGGTCAGTGGGTACCAGTGAATATGTGATTCCATGAATTGGGGAAAGAGATGGGTGCTAATGCCTCACACCTGTAATCCTAACTACCTGGGAGGTATGTAGGCTGAGAGTAGAAGGATCATGATTCAAAGCCAGCCCACAGAAAAGTTCTTAAGATCCTATCTTGAAAATAATTAGTCAAAAGCACACCTCCATCTCAAGTAGAACATCAGCCCTACCAAGTGACAGGCCCTGAGTTCAAATCCCAGTACCACCAAAAAGAAAAAAAAAGGAAAAGGAGCAAAAGTCTCTGTGGCACAAAGAATCTGAATGTTGTTAAGTTCCTACCAGACACCGATCACAAGAGCCACTGGCAGTGGGCCCTGGACTAGCCTGC